ACTAGGGCAACAGAACATCGACATACATATAATTTTAATTCAACTAAACCGGAAGGGGTTTTGTGAAGATTTTAGTAATTTCACCAGTTGAAATCATGAGTCGATTGAAGCTAGACCAGCATGGAAAACCTCGAAGCACTGGACGGCCGTTTCGTCCTAGTATGAGACTTATCAGCAGTGTACATCCACGAGTCAACCGGCTGCCACAGCGCTCGCGCGCGAGACTGATAGGTCCTGCGTTTGAATCTTGCAGGGCGCGGGACGACGGATGAGCGTTGCTAAGGATTCCGACATTAGGATGAAATGGCCGTTCAGTGCTTCCAGATTTTCCATGTTGATTCTGCTTCAAGTGACTCATGATTTTAACTATTTAACTAAATCAATTCATTCCAAATAAAACTGAATCTATAGGTTTCTTGTAAAACCGATATACAACTCACATTAGAATTACACATGTATTCAAGTTTTATTTGGCAAATCAATCTAATTTTCAAAGTGAAATTTCATAAAAATCAATCATACAGTTTAGTTGGTTTGAAAGAAATAAGTGAAAAATATATTTTATTGATTGACTAAGATTTTTTTTTTTCCAAAATGGTACATGTTTACAGTGTTGAATGATTGAATACCAATTTCAGTTTCAATGTTTACAATGGAAAACTCTAAAAGTATATTTTTGTTAATCATTGAATCAATGTACAGTGATAGATAGTAAATTTTCATATGATAAAGAATATTTATTAATCAAGGAAAAGAATTTGAAACTTGATTTATTTTGTAAACTGCATCGTTTACTCATGAATCTCTCATTGTCTCTTTAGATAATAGATTATCAGTACTATTTCTGATAGGTCACTTCTTTTTCAAATATATACTAGTGATATTATCTAGAAAAGCAATGGAATCATCATAATTATACTAACCAGATCAAAGTAGATATAACCTTTAGAAAGATGTTAAATTAACAGTATGCTAAATAATATGATTCAAAAATAGAAACCAGGGTAATAGTGATTTAACTACTTATATTTTAAATGATCTGTCATCTCCATTGAATAAGTCTATGATATAACTCATGATTTGTCTATTACTGAAAGCCTTGATTGTGAAGTGAATCCATTTTGTTGTTAACTCCTTTCAAAAAAAATTGGTTTCTTTTGATGTATGTAACTACCTGTGTAACGTTTTAATTTTAATTAAAATAATTTATTTCATTTTCTGATCAATCAAAGTTACCATATCTAATAAAGTGAATCTTTCACATCTAATGTCCTTTCTTTTTTTTATTTCCTGTCTGACTATAAGTCGTTTACTGAGAAAACATGTGTTTTTTTTAATGATACGTTAGACCTTACTAAGATAAGTAAGGTTAATTCAGATCAAACTAAACGAAGTTGATTACAAGAAATTAAGTTAAAAATACTGATTTCGTAATGATTTCACATTCTTTCTCTCTTTAATCTTCTAACTTACATGTAGCTTTAAACATTAGAAGTAATTGAGAACACTGATGGAATCACATGACAGCTGTAACATCGATGATGTCGTAAATATTGTGAATATATCTAGATGCAAGTTGTTATTTATTGTATCTATTCTTAGCTTCACTTAGTTTAAGACTATTGAAGAAAGGTTTCTGTTTAACCTATCATATAAAGAAGGTATATGATTTGTGCTTACAATTTGTCAACTTAACTGCTGTCCTATTCGTCAGTACTATTTCTCTTTATATTTTATTGGAACTACTGAGAAAGAGTAAATGAAGTTGGGTACTATTCTGAAAGCTAATAGTAAGGTGAGTAGTGAACTATTTGACTTAATTATGATTGGCTTTTCAAAGTCCAAACTGTTTATATTACTCATAAACATTTTTTGTCTATTGTCCTACATAGTACAGCAGTATTAAATTATGCTTTGTGTATATAAAATGAAATATACAAATTTCATTGTGTTTTCATTAATTTTTGCAATAGAAACATAGACTCAGAGACCTGAGTTACAAAATTTTATAGTTTTCACTGAAAATTCGCAACTTTGCCAATTACTTACTTACTTACACCTGTTACCCTTCGTCGAGCAGTATAGGCCACTCACCAACATTCCCCATCCAACCCTGTCCTGAGCAATCCTTTCTACTTCTTTCCAGTTATTGTTCATCCTTTGCATGTCTGCTTCCAATTCACTACGTAATGTGTTCTTTTGCCTCCCACTTTTCCGTTTCCCTTCAGGATTCCAAGTTATCGCTTACCTCATGATGCAGTATGATTACTCAGTATTAAACGTAACAACCATTATTATTATTATTATTATTATTATAAACTTTGAATGATATATGGTTTAGATTTATCATAAACTTCAAGTCTGATTATTAATTAAAATAATGCTCTATTGTAATGAGTTAGAAACTATGTCCAGGTTTACCTGATAACAACTTCAATATTTCATGGAAATACTAATTCACTAATGTTCTCAATGACATTCATTGTTAGTTAAGAGGAGAATATTATTGATAGCACATACCTTTTAGAGAAAAAAAGAAAATCAAAAGCCGATTTTAGTGAATTTTGAGTTTAGAATAATTCGATAGGACAGAAATTTTTCCTTATTAGACGTATTCTACACTAGCCGGCCACTGGTGCATAACTGTGTAAAGGAAACTTCACCTTATTAGAGCAATTTGATATGCGCTTATCTATTTATCTTTTATTACGCAGCTACTTAGATACGTCTTTCATCAAGAAATATCTTCCAAAGCATAAGAGATTACCTGTAAACATGGCTTAGTAAAACATGATGGTAAGTGTAAAACTATTTATGCTTCAACATTTAGATAATCACAGTCATGAATTACTGAACGCAGGATTTCAGTTTATATAAATTATAACGCAAAAACCTGTGGAAAGTTATAAACACCATGTGCTTATAAACCATCTGAAATGTTTTATTCACTGCTGCCATGCTGGTAGGATAATTTTAATGAAACTAGAAGATAAATTGTAAGCAGTCATAGCTTAAGTCTTTGTTAGTGGATGTAAAAGGTCTAACTAAGAAGTTTGAAGGGTGCTAATTCTCAACCAAAGGACTCTAATAAACAGGCGAAGTTACTTGCTATGATAAACTTGAGTCTCTTAACATTGATTCACTACTTTATAGGTTACGTTTTCTGACCAAATGCTCAAAATATGTTCTCCTATGAAATCATATGCTAAAATTCAAGTGTCTGGGAAAATGAATGCTAACGAAGAAAATCAAAGTCACAATTTAATGGGAGTGTTCAGTGGTGTCCAAAATTAATTGATACTTTATAAATTCCAAAACTATTGGTACAGTATTAAAAATAATCAGACATTTCACTATTTAATACAAACCATAATTCCCTTACTATTTGAGAGTTTACCAAGATTTCAATTAGACTAAAGTCATCACTTTTAAGTGAAGCCATGTAACAACTATCGAATCTATGAATTGAATTTGATCTGCAACTTCTTCAGAGTAAGTAAATAACCGAACTTAATCGTGGATGCGCACTACCGAAAAGTTCCATACTAGGATGAAGCGGCCATCCAGTGCTTCTAGGTTTTCAATGGCGCTCTAACATTCATCCATTCATGATATTGATTTGAATTAACACAAGTTTAAAAGTTCGACCCTCGAAACGAGACGTAAATGTTTCTCATTTGAGACTGATGGGGTCGTGAATGTATGCCATCAAGGAGTTCCAAACTAGAATGAAATATCAAACCAGTGCTCCCCGGCCTTCATTAGTACCTTAACTAAGGTCGATATGTGAGTAATACAACCGTCGAATTCAGTAAAATGTTTATTTCCGAATAAATTTCATGATTTTAATGAATGAATATGTAAGCAGATGATCTTATTTTACACTGTTAATACAGTATTTTTGTGTTATTTCTTGTGCACTGTACGATAAATTAAATCATCGAATGCCTCAGAAATCTAAATTACTGTTTTCAAGAGCTATCACAGCAGTAAATAAAAACAAGCCAAGTATTTTCACACGTTTCTCTACTGATCAGTTTGTATTTTGCTTAAACATTAAAATAATCTATTTTAAAGACAAAAGATCCTCCTAATTAGATCATAACATGCATTAACTTAATAGCAAATATGTTTAATAGTTGTATTCAAAAGTCAATTTAGGTTAGACTACCTTTGAAAACCTGGAAGCACTAAACGGCTGTTCCGTCCTAGTATAGGATTCCTCAGAAGTACATATCCAAGTCCCTAAACGCGGGACTCGAATAAAGGACCAACGAACGCTTAAACCACAAATCACTGAGTCGGCTTCCAACGGTATTAATGTCTAACTTCAACCAATCTCAGCTTTTCAATGGTGGTCTAGCTTAAATCGACTCATGAATTTAAATATTAAATTACTACAATCTCCACATCCCCCCTATTCAGTTAAAAAATTACTAACCATTTCACTCAGTAATGAAAATCGATTTGTTATTTTCACTGATTTTATAACCATAGTCTTAAGTATACTCATATATATATATTACTCATAATTTATCTGTGTGATTATTGACCACTCTCTATGATGTAACCTAATATTTTATAAAGTGCAATAATTCAACCTATTTTATTGTAAAATTAAATACACCTCAAATAATTTAACCAATTAACCAGCCAATTAATTTTTTCGTACAATGGTGCACTCAAATTCACATGACTATAACACACATTTGAATTGTTATATCTACTTCATCAATTGTAATTCATTATTATTGTGATATATATATATATATATATATATATATACCACATTATTATTATTATTATTATTATTAGTAGTAGTAGTAGTAGTAGTAGTGGTAGTAGTATTTTGACAGATTCCGTAAGTGTCGAATAATGTGAAAATGTTCTTCACTTATATATATATATATATATGATTTCTAGACAAATTAGAATGATTACCACCAATTAAATTATTCTCAATTTATGATTGTACTATCAAGTGAATTGTAATAAGTCTTGTAAACAGTTATCTATTGTTGAGTACAATTATATAATATATCTATATACGTTTAATAATAAATCAATTCTGTTTCATAATGAAACATTACGATATTGTAGTTGAAGCAAATGAATTACCAACAGAACGTAAAACAACCGCACTGACTTTATGTGTACATGCATTGGATTATTATCATACTGAAAAAGATGTAGCTATGTTTATGAAAAAAAATTTTGATAAATTATATGGACCAATATGGCAATGTATTGTAGGTCATGAATTTGGAATGTAAGTTATATTATAATATATATATATATATCATTCGGTGAGACTAATATTTATGGATGACCTATGAGTGACGTTAGACCGACCTTGAGAGTGTCTACTTCATAACCAGGACCAAATGAAGGTTATGAACCTGTGTGAGAAATTAGAATTATAATTTACAGTTGATGATTAAGTTTAGAAATTATCTTTTGATTTTTTCATCACAAAATGACATCAGCTATAATGTTATGGATGTATTTATCCAAATAAATGAGTGAATTTCGCGCCGAAATCCGAGATCTGTTATCTTATACCTGATTTGTTCGTCCGAAAATTATAGTCTCGTCAATCTTTCTTATTTAATTTTTTAATAGTTGAGTTCATGAATCATTTGAAGCTAAACTATCATGGAAAACTTGGAGTCATTTTGTTTATATTGAATAATTAATTCTCAGTTAATTTTATTCGAAAATTTGTATATTTAAATTAATCTATAAGATGATATACCATGAATATGTAAAAAATGATGAATTAAGGTTTTAGTGGTCCTTCATTTTGACGTCAATTAGACCACATGATGTTGTCAAAGGAATCACGACTATAGTGGCACAAGATCTGACTCTGACTGGATCGTTTCTGGTTGCTGTTGATAATATACATATCGCCAATTCTCGTATATAATTATCGACTTAATCCACGTTAGTGAATAACTGAATTAAATACGTCAAATACGAGAAAGGATTTCCGAATACATATATTTTGTACACTCATTGATCTGCGCAGGCAATCAAAGGGACAAAGCGAAGAGAAGAGAGCGAAGCGAAATGACGCACAATGGAGTGGGCGTGTGAGCTGACTCGATTTAATCAATCGTTAATAGATATTTATAGTTACAGAAAAATAAGCTGCAGACATGTGATCAGTAGGATAAGAGTGAACACACATACGCTCATATAAAAACAGTCAATGTTGATAAGCGAATGATTAACAAGGTTAAAACATGACTCAAGAAGAATGGATAAATTGGCTTGTCCGGAAGCTAGAATAAGCTTTATGGGTTCGGTATAGGACCAGCCGCCACAAGTCCCTTCATCAATTAGTGATAGTATTTTGTTGTAAGGTAATTTTTATCAGAATAACAATATTACAATGGCGTTTTAGACATATATATATATATATATAACTTCACTTAGTATTGTTTGTTTGAATCTTCCTATGATGTTTTGGATTGCAATTGATCAGTCTCTAGTCGGCATATATGGATACTGTGTCTATTGCCTCGACATTGCCTTAATTCATAAACATTATATGCAAAGATGGATAGTGACTAGCGGTGGAATCCTATTTGGGACTCATCAGCTGGATGTACCTGCATCTCAGATTTAAAGTAGTAGTCTTTATATAAATGTATAAACTAACATATAACATAAAATAAAGTTAAAAATTTACATACAAAACATTTCAAATATGAACAGTAATAATAATATCAGGTTTAGTAATAGGCTATTTTCATTGGACTGAAGCAAGTGTCAGAAATGACAGTTGACGATAATCATATAATATCATTCATTTGATTTTTTGGAACGTATATCCCTAGATGCATATTCAGCTGTCTGAAGTCTACATCCTTGTTATGAAACCATGACATATTGCTTTTAATCCCCAATTGGAATCATGTACGTAGCTGAATAGTATCAAATTATGGTGAAACAGTTATCTAATACCTCTTGATTTTTAATGATTGTCTAGTTGAAATTAGTTCATGAAACAAAAGCTAGACTATTACTGAAAACCTAACAGCGTTGGACGGTTGTTTCATCCTAGTTCAGATCGTATAGCTTAGATTGACTTATGATTTCAACTATTGAAATGGCTACAGTCTCCACAAATCCCCATTCTGTACAAAATGCGTAGGTTAAAATTACGAATCAATGTTTATAGACATTTTACGTTTTTGCTGATTTAGTCATAACTATCATTTTAGCGATATTTTGAACTAAACCAAAATTTATTTTACTAGTGAATACTCATTTGTAAAGTCTTTGAGACTGTAATTTATGGACGATCGTTGAGCGACCCTAAAATAACCTTGAGAGTGTTCACCTAAAAAACCAAAACCAAATGTGGCTTATAAACCTGTGTGAAGAATTATAATTATGATTTACTGTTGATGGTTAGGGTTAGGATTTAGATTTACAGTTTTCATCACGAACTGACATAAGTTATAATATAAAAACGTTATTTAACTAAATGAATGAGTAAATTTCGCGCCAAATTTTGAGACCTGTTATCTTATACTTGATTAGTTCGTCTATAAATTATAGTCTCGCAGACAAGTTTGTATTTCACAGTACCTTGACTGAAATCAACCAGAATTCTTTAATGAATTTATAGTAAGAAGAACTCATCAATTAGAATAAGAAAGAGATTATAGCAACTCACATTCAATTGAGTTTGCTCTCACCTAATTCGGTTAAGCCCTTTAATTAACTTATTAAACGGACAAAGTCACCTGCACTATAATAACTTATTGTATCCTTATTACTGTTGCGAATGTATGTACCTTTATTATTGTTATCCTTGTATGAATATGTATGCTCGGCAAGCCTTACTGCCTACGCATTTATTCACGCTACTAGCTTTACTATTAACCGCTTAATTGACTCGATGATTCATTCATTTCACTATGTATATATTACTTACTTACGCCTGTTACTCCCAATGGAGCATAGGCCGCCGACCAGCATTCTCCGACCCACTCTGTCCTGGGCCTTCTTTTCTAGTTCCATCCAATTCTTGTTCATTTTTCTCATATCTATCTCCATTTGCCGGCGTAATGTATTCTTTGGTCTTCCTCTCCTCCTTCGACCTTGAGGATTCCATATGAGGGCTTGTCTTGTGACGCAGTTGGGTGTTTTCCTCAATGTGTGTCCTATCCACTTCCAGCGCTTCTTCCTGATTTCTTCCTCCACTGGGATCTGATTTGTTCTCTCCCACAGTAGGTTGTTGCTAATAGTGTCCGGCCAGCGGATCTGAAGTATTTTGCGTAGACAACTGTTAATAAACACCTGTATCTTTTGGACGATGGATTTCGTAGTTTTCCAGGTTTCCGCGCCATACAGTAGAACTGTCTTGACATTTGTATTGAAAATTCTGACTTTACTATGTATATATATGTCCATGTTATTCATATTCATGACTCGCTCGCTCGTTCATTCACTCGCTCGATCGCTCGCTCTTGCCCTTGCTCACTCTCGCTCGCTCGCTTGCCTGTTTGCCTTTCGGCATAACTATTTCATGCTTGCTTAACGCATCTGTAATTTTGGATATCTGTGTGTGGTCCCTTAATAAACGTAATTAACGCTTCGTATTCGCCTTCTGATTAATATACCGTTGGAGCATTATTTGGTGACGGTCACCGAGACGAACTGTATACGGAGTTTAAGGAATATATCGAACACCAACCACCACAAGATCATTGATTCCTTACAATAAACTTAAAAATGAAATGAAGATGTTTATTTATAAGGCATATACATTGTTCTGAACCCGTTGAAGTTCTATTATTCAGTTTGTTTAATAAAAAAATGATATGAAATGGAATCTACGTACAGTGTTTACTTCATATAATCTAAAATATTTCCAAGTTGGTTTGTAATATCACTCAAATTCCTCCTTATAACACAGATATATGAACGAAGAATATTCTTTTTAATAAATTCACCTCAGGTTCTACAATTATATATATCTAAATAAATAATCCCAATTTTAGCTTGGTTTAAGGTAAAATACATCGTTTAGAGTATTCCGTATCCAGGTTCAAGGCAAAATATATCATTTCGAATAATGACATAAGAATTCAGAATAGTCATATAAAATGTTAATGTTGCGATGACTAATATGCAATATCAACTTGAATAAGTTTATACTATACTTTAAATGGAATTTTGAGATTAATGATCAAAATAAATATGATTGATATGAGATGACAGAGATAATAGTATAATTAGAAATCAGAAATTACGTAATATGTAGATAAATACGAATTAGGCAAGAATTAGTGTGTAGGGATGGACGCTGAATACATTTCCTGAAAGCGTTTGCAAATGTTACAGTAACAATGATAACCATAGTGACGACAATAATGTTTATGAATGGGATAAGTTTAAGCTATCAAAATGCAAAGAAGAAGGTTATATAAACATTAATGGAATTACGTTATCATATTGTTGGGGTATTCAGAAAATACCCCGGAAATTATCTAATGCTATTCCTGAATGAGAAATGGTGTCATTTCCCCCAGTGCTCAATATTCATCCAACGTGTCATTTTCCCGTTGGTCAATATTTATTTGTATCATTTCCTGGAGGTCAAATCTTGTACAAATGTTACTTTCTATTTTATGGTACGATGTAATCTGTTTGTTTGGTATATAAACGGAGTATGTTTGAAATATAATGATTCATATCACAGAGGCTGAGACTTTTGTTCTGGACTCAACTGGCTGGGCTAGACAGGGAAGCAGGGCCAATCAGAACTCTAGACTGTTCTTACGTGTTTACGCGTCTTTGGTCCGATCGATAATTCTCTGACCTTGCTGTCCTCAAATCCGCGCGTCCCAACATATAACAATTGGCGGGTCACACAAGTTATAACAAATATCATCAAAATGGTTAGTAACTAATTAGACTAGAAGTTGACCAAGATAAAATAAGCAGTTGAACATATTTCTTCTGGACGCGAATCTCTGGGGTTTTTTTTAATCTGAATAGCTATTGCTTCAGCCACCTGAAGTATTCTTAATCTGATGGATTTATCCAAAGTGCTGCTAACACAATACTACATACGATATACGTTTAATACTGTGAAGATTATGTTGTCTCTTTTTAAATAACCTGGAGATATTTGTTAATATTATACTCATCATTGACTTGATTTGTTTCAACAAACGATGTATGCACAAGTAAGGTAGATATTATTGATCTATTTTTATTGAGCAACATGATAAGAATTGAATATGTTCAATTCATTCACCTGATTACTATTACAGATGTACAACATTTACTTAAAAGTCTTGAAACACTATTTTTATTGAACATTTAATCAAATATTGTATCGTTATTGTGCATACATTAAACTAATTGGTGAGGCTATAATTTATGGACGATCTTTGAGGGACGCTAGAATATCCACTTAATTAGCAAAACCAAATGAGGGTTATAAACCTGTGTGAGGAATTATAATTATAATTTACAGTTGACGATCAAGGTTAAAAATTAGATTTAGAGTTTTCATCACGAACTGACATCAGCTCTAATGCCAAAATGATATTTTGTCAAATATATGAATACATTTCGCAACCAAACCTTATATCTGATTGGTTCACCCATAAATTATAGTCCAGCCAATTAATTTTCAAATTTAGATATTTAATCTACTGTATAACTCACTAAATTTATCAATATATCATTTAGATAATCAGTAGTTGAATTCATGATTCAGTTGAAGTTAGACCACCATTGAAAAACATGAAAGCACTGGACGGCCGTTTCATCCTAGTATGGAACTCTACAGCAGTGTGCATCCACGATCCCGCTCGTGGGGTTCGAACGCGGAACCTGTCGGTCTCGTGCGCGAACGCTTAACCCATTTAACTTCAAGAGGTATTTCCTGAAGTTCTAATGAGAAGCCGTAACCAGTGAAGTTCAACCAGGTCTGTTGTGAGACAGTAACTCACTGAAGACATTAGTGGACGGTGGCGCAATTTCATGGCACTGTGGTGTAGAAGTTAAGCGTTCACGAGCGGGACCGAAGGTCCTTAGCTCTAATCTCACGTGCATGACTGTGGATGCGCACTGCTGAGGAGTCTCATAATAGAACAAAACGGCTGTCCAGTTTTTACTGGTTTTCAGTGGTAATCTAGCTTCAATTAACTCATGAATTCAACTAATAAATTACTAAAATCTCTCCAAAACCCCCCTGTGATAACATCCAAACGTTTTATAAATATTCAAGTATTTTAATATTATTCAATTTGTTTTAATTGGTTGTTTAGTTGAATGTATAAATCAGAACTTCTAGCATTAATTATATCACATTTAGCCAAATTCAATTTTTCATATCCCATTGTGGTGTGTACTACTGATTTTGATAGATATAAGTAGTACCTATCACTCATCGAAAGTAAAATACCTGGCGGCAGAATGTTAAGAAAATCAAAGTAAACAAAACAAGAACAAAGAATGATTGACGTCGAAATAAAAACAAAACAATAAAATCTGAAACGATTGATTGATATTTTGCAAATGAATTATGATTTTCAGATTTTACTCAATATATTATGTAATTTTCTATTCAAATATATTCGATTGTCCCCACCTATATTCTTATTCACTACACTATGAATAGTATATGTTTATATAAAGTAGAATCGTATCATTTAGCAACTAATTTTTTCTTTACCATTAAAACTACCTTCATGAATTAATCAGTTATGAAAAAAATTTTTTTAGAATGGTTGATTATATCATTTATGTTTACATATGTAAATTAGTATGAAAATTTATGGTGTGCAAATAGAATACAATTATTGATCATGACTTGAAGTGTTTGTTTGTATCAAATATCTAAGGTATAACAAAAACACGGTACACATATAGGATAGATTTATGTATATACTTAAAGGTTAGTACAAATGGACTATGATTTATTTTGATTTACATTAAACTGTAGGTATTGAATACATAGATTTAACTAATTCTCATGAAATAGTTTTTTATCATCCAACCTAGAAACTATTTCCATGCATCTTATTAGTGTTTGTTAGTAAAAGTCAATTCATAACGATCTCTGTCAACTGTTTTCATTGAAATGTCAGTATACGGTACTATATTTAACGAAAGACATTTATAATATTTGAGAATTTATGTTTCAAGTTTAATAACATGAATAAAGGGGAGGGAATGACAGAACTCATGGAATATTGATAAAGTACAAGATGTATGGAGATACACATATATGCACACATAGATTAGAAAATCGAATTTATAACTAAGGTATGAAATTTTATTCGAGATCAGAACCAAACTTAAAACTTAATATGACTACATAAAACATGATGTCTGAATATGTATTAGAAATGTAAATATGTTATCTAATTCATATGTGCTTATTATAAGATCTAAAACTAGCTAATGTGACAATTTGCAAAGATTTAGAAAGTCAATTGGATAAGTAAGCTTTTCTTTCTGTTAAACATGGCAGGGCAGGGTGAATTATTCTAATTACTCTCCTATCCGTAAATCAAAGAAAAACACTTTTCAATTATTGGAGTGTTTTTTTATAATATTGATTCTATAGTAGTTAAATATATCATGTACTACCGTACTTGGTTTGGTTTATTGATTTCAATAGTCTACAGGATTATTTTTTGATAAATGTATTTTTCATTTGAGTCAAGATTTCATAAACCAACTTTTCAATATAAATTCGGTTATAAACAACACAATTGAAATTGTAGACTGTTCTATATTGATTTTTCATCAACAATCCAGTTGTAGTCTTTCAGTATATTATTAATTATGTTCGTTTTCATCTCAATAAACTTGACTTACTTACTTACACCTGTTACTCCTAATGGAGCACAAGCCACCGACCAGCATGCTCAAACCCACTCGGTCCTGAGCCCTTTTTTCTAGTTCTTGCCAATTTTTGTTCATTCTTCTCATGTCTGTCTCCATTTCTCGGTGTAATGTGTTCTTTGGCCTTGAGGATTCCATGTGAGAGCTTGCCTTGTGACACAGTTGGGTGCTTTCCTCGATATGTCTTATCTACTTCCACTGTTTCTTCCTGATTTCTTCGTCCGCTGGGATCTGGTTTGTTCTCTCCTATAGTAGCTTGTTGCTGATGGTGTCTAACCAACGGATCTGAAGTATTTTGCTTAGACAACTGTTATTAAACACTTGTATCTTCTGGATGATGACTTTCGTAATCCTCCACGTTTCCGCTCCATATAACAAAACTGTTTTGACATTTGTATTGAAAATTCTGACCATGGTGTTGATTATAAACAATCTCGTATTCTTTTTCACAGTATCTTCTAAAAGAATATAAGAAATGAAAGTCCAAATTCTGGTTTGCATCTATCGATTTCCAGTGGACAATTTTCAATAACATAACTGAGCTTACTAGATCAAATCATGTGGTCATTTATTCGAATTAAAGTTGATATGAAATGTATATGAAAAGAATTGGAAATAGTTTTAATACATCATACTATACGGAAACGTTCATTTATCATTTTGTAACAAAAAACTTTCAGCAAGTAAATATCAAATTACCTTTTATTTCTTCTTTTTCTTTTTTAGGTCAATTACACATGATGAAAAGTGTTTCATTTATATCCATTGTGGAGAAGTCAGTCTTCTACTTTATCGATGTACTTAATTAAGTATTTTCATGAAATAATTTGAATAAACGTGCTTTTTTCTTAAATAAAAAATGTTTTCTGCATATGTTTGATTTTACAACTTTAATTTATTTCTATATATTTGCAAATAATAACGGTACTGGGTTCGAATTCCGGAGTGAACATCCAGCTGACGAGTCCCGAATGGGACGAAACGCGTGTCCTGGATTCCACTGCTGGCCATTATCCATCTTTGCTTATAATTCTTGTAAGTTAAGGCAATATCGAGGCAATAAGCACAAGATGCATATATACCAATAAGAGGACTGATCGATTTCAGTCTTAATCATCAATTGGAAGATTCAAGTGAATAATACCAAGTGAATTATTATCACTTGTTATGGCAAAATCTCGAATGACTTGGTTTATACTATGGATATAAGAAATTTAATAATTATTAAGGAATTTTTCGATTCAATATCGATTCTTTCAGTTCCGTATACTTCAGTCACCTGTTATCTTGTCGTTTTTTAAAGTTATTCTGAAATAATTTCCTTTTAGTGTGTAAATTTAGAAAAAATATTATTAGTAATTCATCATGAAAGCTACCCCTGTAGCTTTTCTACAGTTACTACCGGTTTCAAGCCCGAATAAAGGAGGAAGGTCAGGCGTGAGGTTGGCATCTCCATCTCATAGAAAAAGATCTTGCTAAGAAAATTCCAACCAGATTAAATAGGTAATTCATCATGGAACAAATTTTAGGTCTATTTAAGTTTTGTATATATACATGCATTTATATTGTCATCATTACAATTAAAAGCTGACGGCTCAGTGATCTAGAGATAAAGCGTTCGCGAGAGAGACCGACAGGTCCTGGGTTCGAATCTCGCTAGACGAGATCGTGGAAGAGCACTACTGAGAAGTTCAACAGTAAGACGAAACGGCTCTCAGGTTTTCCATGATGTTTTCGCTTTAATTGACCCATGAACTCATCTATTAAATTACTATAATATCCACAAAACCCCTTCCTGATATTTTTTTTTAATTCACAATACAATTAATGTTTTGTGAATATGTACTGTTCTCAGCAAATAATCCTTCAAATAGTTCAATATATGAATAACTTTTAAATTATTTTTTGTGCATTTTATGTTGTTTCAATATAACATACTAAGCCAGTTATGGATAATAGATCTAATGACTTATTATATCTAGGACATTTCTTTTAAGTAAACTAAACTTTAAAACATCAAAACTGAAGGGGAATTTTAATTCTATTGTTATAATCTGGATTATATAGTATCCGAATAGGATATTGATTACCTAAGTTTTCCTATAAATTCATAATACAACTAGATGAATTGATTTCATCAGATCGATATTGAAATCTTCGACTGGATGATGATTGTTGTTGAGATTAATTTTTTTTGATAAACTGCAAAGAGAAGATGTAATTTAGACTATATTTGTGGAATTTCATAGTTACAGGACAAATTAAATGTTTCAATTTACTAGAACAATACATAAGTTCGTAAAAAAGTGGTCTAAATTTAATTTAACTGATTAACGGTCATGGAAACTTCATATACAAAACTAGAAGATAGTTAATTACTCTTATACTTAATCTAATAAATTAAATAACAGATAATAATATTGGTTTTAATGTCTTAATCAGGAGCTACTATAATCTCAAATTAACAGGCTACCCAATTAATAGGCTTCGTCAAATAATGACAGGTCTAAGGTCAACAAGAACCAATCAACATCGAGATCACATTTGTAGAAATTCGAACTCTTCACTTCTACTTGGAGTTTCTGCTGATGATGTCATTCAGAAGAATGATGTAAGCTCAACGATTAAACTGTTCAGTTCAGAGAACAAAACTTCATCAAAATTTGTCAACTGTACTTCAACTATTTTTAAATGTTGAACGTCATTGCTACTACATGTATCTGTATATTGCTTAGTTGTTAAATTGAGTGACTTTTAACCACTAATTTGCAGATTTAAACCTTATTCCATCTAAATTCAATTGGTATTGTTTTACTTGAATCTTCCCATAGATGTTTAAGACTGTAATTGATCAGTCTCTTATTGACATATGTGCATACATCAAATCTGTGATGCATGTATATCCAGCTGATGAATTCCAAATATGATGAAATGTGCATGCCTGAATTCCACTGCTAACTACTAGCCATCTTTGCCTATTCCATCTCTTTTGATCTGAGCAACCTGCTGTTACTATTACCTCTGACACTTTGAAATGTGTCACAAACTAAGATACTTAATAAATGAGTTAATTAATTCATATCTACATTCATAGTAATATTTACAGTTACGTCAACGTAACTAATTCATACAAAGATCATTTTATTCTCACACAACTCAAACACATTTCTAATCAAATATAAACACATTAACACCGTTGGATGCCAGCCAGCTCTATGGTCTAATGGTCAAGTGCTCGCACGCGAGACTGATGGGTCCTGGATTCGAGTCTAGCGGGGGCGAGATCACGAATGTGCACTGCTGAGGAGTGTCACACTAGGATGTAACAGCCATCCAGTTCTTCCAGGTTTTCTATAGTGATATAATTTCAATTGACTCATGATGTTAACTATTGAAATTTCTAAAATCTCCAAAAAACCCCTTCTAATAAAAATAAAAAGATTAACAACAATAAAATACGCTCTTTCCTGAACAAGAATTTATTTTTCAAAAACAAAAATAGTCATTTTGATAGAAAATATGAAATTCTTGTAAAATATTGATTATATGAAACAAAATATCACGGAAGCTGGTCGGAAACCTCTGCTCGATTGGGAGTAACAGACTTAAGTATGTAAATAAGTAGTATGATGACAAAATGTAAAACAAATAAAGTATATATGTATATAGTAAGTGGTTGATTGTTTGTTAGATTTATCTTTATAAAAGAATAGATAAAATGATTTAATCACAATACAGAAAAATAGTAAATTTTAAACTGTTATCCATAGTATACAATAGATTCATATAATTATCCAATAAAAGATTATTAGTTTATATAATTGTATTTTATTCATATATATTGGCTTTTAATTTATTGTTCCAGTTCTGAATAATACAACAGCATGATTATCCAAAAAGAAATAAATAAAATGTTTTGCTTCATGTGAAATATACCTAAAATAGGTTATTCAAAAAAAAAAAAAGGTTAGAATGAAAATATAGTTAGAATGTATTCATCATTTGAAAGGATGTATATATTTTAAATTACATATTGAATGATAAGATGGTAATCATCAAATTTGTTGACTGACCTGATGACTCAAACCCTAGAAGTACCAGTAAACTTATATGCGCTAGATGGATTGAAACCAGCCTAATGTTTGGGATAAAGTGAGCTGTCAGTTCATGTAAAGTAAGGAGGTAGTTGATTATAATGTTTAGATATCCTTTATATATACACCTGGTACAATGTCATTTGATCTCTTCTACTGTAGTCGAAGTTTGTATATTTCGTTGAGACAGTAAGACTTCACTATTCAAAATTTGGAGGTTTAACGTGGGTAGATACATGCCAAACGACTGAATGTTTCGTAGAGTCCTAAAATTTCCACTTGATAATAAATTAGTATTTAAGTTTTAGCAATGAAGGATTTAACTGATAGTTTGCTTCAGATGTTAGTTTAAATTTCCCAGTAAATAGTTTAAATAGAAACGTCTATGGCATACAAAAGGTATGAATATTATTTAGTATTGTTACATACACTAACCAACAATGGTTGCATTGTGACCCATGTCAGCATACTTACTTACTTACTTACGCCTGTTACTCCTCGTGAAGGAGCATAGGCCGCTCACCAGCACTCTCCATCCAACCCTGTCCTGGGCAATCCTTTCAAGCTCTTTTTAGTTCTTATTCATCCCTTTCATATCCGCTTCTATTTCCCGACGTAATGTGTTCTTTGGCCTTCCTCTTTTCCTCTTCCCTTCAGGATTCCAAGTTAGGGATTACCTCGTAATGCAGTATGATGATTTGCGTAATGTATGTCCTACCCATTTCCATCGTCTTTTCCTAATTTCCTCTTCAGCTGGAAGCTGGTTTGTTCTCTCCCACAGAAGGCTGTAACTGATGGTATCCGGCCAATGGATGTTGAATATCTTGAGTAGACAGCTATTGATAAATGCTTGTACCTTCTTGATGATGGTTTGAGCTCCGTACAGTAGAACTGTTTTGACGTTGGTATTGCAGATTGTGAATCCGATATTGGTTAAAGTTGTTTTGAGTTTCATATGTTCTTCCATTGAAGGAATGCGGCTCCATGTCATCATAACCAGCATCAATACGTGAAATTGATGATGCTATATTCATAATCTAGCTTTCAAGATTAGCATGTTGAGATATGAACCAAACACATATCAAACTGAAAACCACAGATTCAAATAAATACAAGTACTAGACGACCATTTTCTGAAGCAGATATAGGTTTATTAATATGCTACTTCTAAGATATTTCAATACAAACCTAAAAACGACACACTTTTAGATTTTTAAAAGACTTAGCCTTCTCTATGAGTTCTGACAATTCACTCATACATTAAACACACTCTCCTACTGTTACCAGGTGCACAATCGTCAATTGCTGCTCATTTGTAATAACACATTTCCATAACCTATTTATTCGATCTTAACTTTGATGTTGAATGCTTGGTTAAGTGAATGCATAAGTGTTTCACAGCATAACTTTTGTCTTCTCATTTAAAAATGATTAAAATTATTATAAACATTTAACAGGGTTTCATTATTGACTCAAATATCTTTAATAACAACAATGGTATTATTGAAATAAATAGTAATAACTTGACACGATACCTGTATTACTGGCATAATAATCTTGCGCTTATTTTGAATGTCAACATATGATTTATCAAATTAATCAGTCTTATGACTTCCACCTGAAGTTTTTGCTGATGATTTCCTTCAGAAGTACAATGAAAGTTCCACGGCCAAACTATCTAGCTCAGAGAACAAAACTCCATTGAATATTAATGTATAATTATTTACAAGGATATGATATATTATAGGTGTTCATTAAGTTTTCCATAATAATAAGATTACAGAAACTGTAGTAAAACATTCAGTTTTCTTAAGTACATATTAGTTATCTGTGATACAAAGGTGTTTTGATAAGACTAATGTGCTACTAGCTAAATCAAAAACCATATAAATAACACACCTAACAACATATTCAAAAGTATTAACATTATTATTATCATTATTTTCACTTTCGGTAAGACTTGTCTCTAAAGCGGAACAACAAAATCATACACAAGAGAGAACAAATAAATCTTTATCAGAAGGGGTTTTGTGGAGATATTAGAAATTTCAATAGTTAAAATCATGAGTCAATTAAAGCTAGATCACCATGAAAAAACCTGGAAGCATTTGACGGCCATTTTGTCCTAGTATGGGATTCCTCAGCAGTGCGCATTCATGATCCCGCCTACCGCGAGATTCGAACCCAGGATCTATCAGTCGCGTGCGCGAGTGCTTAACCATTATTAGACCACAGAGCTGGCCGGCATACAACGGTGTTAATGTCTAAATTCAACCAATCCACGAAGTTGAGTCACAGAACACCATTGTCTTCAGCAAGCTGATATCTCACAACAGACCTGGTTGAGATCCATTGATCAAGGCTTCTCACAAAAACTCCAGGAAATGCCTCTTGAAGTCAGTCACCAGTGAGCAAACGATTTTGTGGAGAATATTAGAAATTTCAGTAATTGAAATCATGGGTCAATTTAAGTTAGACCACCATGGAAAACCTGGAAGCAGTTGACGGCCATTTCGTTTTAGTATGAGACTCTTCAGCAGTGCGCATTCACGATTCCGCTCCCCGCGAGATTCCAACCATCCAGTGCTTCCAGGTTTTCCATGGTGGTCTAGGTTCAATCGACTCATGATTTCAACTATTGAAATAAATCTTTGTCAAAAATTATTGTCATTCTATAATCTAAACTATCAGGATTTTCACAGAACATTAAACGTTACTGTGACATTTACTCCATATTGTTGGTCAAATACTGTTGACCACCATTGTAATGGTGTCATTTGAATTGGATAATCACTACTCAGTGAAATATATACAATTTTACACATATAAATCGAATCTGATAAAATATTTTAGCCAACTTTGCAAACGACATCAGAAATACTCTTCTGTATTAAAAATTAATAGTTCTAATATATTAACAGACTGTACCCATATGTGATGATAGAAAGCTTATAACTTATCAAGATACTAAATGTCAAAGAACTATTTCGGAAACACATTTCTCATTTTCTATCCATGAAAGAAATAAGAGACGATTACATTAGAACTTACATTTTTTTAAATTATGATTAATTGAAAAAGTAAATAGTTGTAACCATTAGACTGGTGGAGAACTTTCACGAACACTAATGAGAGGAGATACTAACTACTATAAGACATCTGTAAAATGTGTATTTGAATAAATTGAATTAAAAGCTATAATAACTAGGAACTAGTGCTGATAACTCAGTATTGAAACAAATTAAATAGTGATAAGCAAAATAATTATTATTAAACCTTTTACCTGTATAACAAACGTTTAACAATATTCAACCATTACCATGGAATCAGTTAAAATAAATTTTGTCACTACTTAGTAGCTAATCAATGTAAACATAAAAGCCCTATAATGGGTCGATCTAAATCTGAATAGTTCTTGAGCTAAGGCTAGTAGTTTTGTGTAACACATTGTAGAACACTTTCAGCAAGGTATCATTTCCCTGAGAATAAGAAATTTACTATTTAGACAAATGTCAATGAACAGAAAACATGGATCTAGCCCTTTCTTTTGTCCCTGCCCCATATAATCATACTGAAAATTCTCTCAAAATAAGCTAAAGGAAAATAAATCAACAATGCTTGTTGAAAAATTACACTTTACTTTCATGTGTATTCATTTAAATTCAGAATTTCTTTTAAGAAGAGAACCTCATTCAAAGTAAACAATAATATGTTTTGTTTAAAGTGTATTGGAATACCTAGATTATATATGATGAATCGAGTTTTTAAATTATCACAAGGATAATTTATCTTTCAAGAGCTGATAAAGCATAAAATTACAATTTATAAGCCCGAATTTCAATTCAGTTCGTTTTGTTTCTAGTGTGCTTAATGGAAGTAAAGTTTACAAACGTTATTCAAACCATTCAGGTATTACGTACTATAGAGGGATTTACCACTGTTCATTCGACAGTAAGGTAAAAGGTATTGTAGAAATCAAACGTTTTATAATGTACTTAGTTATGTAATGATAACAATTTATGACCATATATTCTGTAGCAAGTAGTAAATTAAATATGAGGAAAATCCATATTTTTATAGAACACTTACGATGGAGCATCTGACTACAATGACAGTGATAATGAAATATATATCCTAATCATTTAATTTCATATATAACACTTCTGGAAACCGTATTTTGGAACGATCGTATATAAAAGTTAAATTCAAGATAAATGCAAAATGTAACTTGATGGTTATAGTTTATGAATTCATATGAGGAGATAAACTATGAGTGAAATGAATCGATAAAACTTGGAAATCGGCTTTCCTCCGAATTCGTTAAATAGTTTATAGTTATATATATATATATATATATATATATATATATATATATATATATATATATATGGATGAAAGGTCAACAAGTTTCATAGGAATACTTAAAATCTAACCGATAACGTCACAGTTACATACACAAAGGACAAATAAGTACACACAACAGTTTATATCCACCTGTCATATCAATTCAAGATAAGATTGTAAATTTTATCAAATGTTTATTACATTTCAAATATGTAAGAGATTACAACAGAGTGTGATTCATTAATAACTGTTTGTAACTGTCAAACTAAAGGACAATCTTATTATCCTATTTCAAAATTTCATAATCTTAGGCAGTCGTCATCTAAACAACTTTATGAATTAAATTCACTTGATGTTGTTTTTATTTGTATCTTCCTATTGTTAATTAGGACTGCAATTGATCCATCTCATGTTGGCATATGTGCAATTGATGAGTTCCAAACAGGACGAAACGCGCGTCCTGGATTCCACTGCTAACTACTATTTATCTTTAAATAAAGCTTTATGAATTCATTCATTATATGAAAGTTATACTTACAGACTACATGATAAAATATCAGGATAATCATAGTGAACCTTTTTTTTGTAAAAAAAAAAACATGACCGATTACAAAATAGTAATATGTAAAGTGTAAAATGAACTTACGTGCCAAAATGTGATCCAACTATACAATGCCAACTAGGTAAATATTTTCGATCAAATTCTTTTTTCATAAATGCTGCAATATCTTTTTCCATTGAATATTTTTTAATTGCAATAGCACATATATCTACAGCATCTTGTTGCATATCATCAGGCATATCAACACTTTTTATAATTGCTTTTAAACTAGTCATTTTATTAACTTAAATAATGAATACTGTATAATCATTACAATATTAAAAGGAGAAATAATCTTGTTTGAATATATTTATTTGTTAATATACAACATAGTAACTATAATTTGAATAAAATTATTGAAATACTATTTATGTGCATATATTAAAGTGTATGTATGTATGTATGTGTGTGTGTGAGTGTAAGTGTGTAGATTTACACTTGACTACATGTAAAATAAAATAAAATGGGCAAATGTATAGAAAGATTCAGAAAATTTATCTATTTTTGTGTTTGTGTGTGTGTGTGTGTGTCTAAACGGAATTGTTGTGCGTGGTCATAAGAAAGAAAAAAAGAAAGAAAGAGAGAAAGAAAGAAAGAAAGAAAGAGAGAAAGTAGAAACAAAACTGGTCCGAATAAATTATTTAATATGCATGTTATTTGTATACATGTTCACTCATATGTATATTTATGAAATATTCATTTCATAAAGTTGAATTGGTTGAATAAAAAAAGAAGCTTTAAAGAATTGTTTTAAGATCAGTTTATTGTTATTGTCATTTTTGGCGGATTGATTGACGTTAAATTAGTGTAATTAACTGAATGCTATGAAGGTTGTGGTAGTCGGTATTCAATATAATCCTTAAACTTTATATATAGTTCATTCTGATAACTGTTACTAGATAACACCCCCAATGGTGTATTAATCAGAAGGTGAATACGAAGTGTTGATTACGTTTATTATTGCACCATGCACAGATAACCAAAATTATAGGTGCACTAAGTGAGCATGAAAGAATAGTGCTGAAATGCAAATGAATAAGTGTGCAAGTCGAATGAGCTAGTTGAATGAACTATTCGGCGAGTCAATAAACAGAATTAAATTGTACATAGTGAAATGAATGAATCATTGAATCAACTAAACGACTAACATTAAAGCTAGTAGAATGAATATATGTGTAGGCAGTAAGCAATGCTTAAGCATACATATTCATATAAGTGTAACAATAATAAATGTACAATGATATAGATAAGTTTTTATTGTACGGATGACTCTATCCGTTAAATGAGTCAACAACAGAGCTTAACCAAATTAAATGTGAACAAAGTCAACTGCTCGTGAGCTGTCATAAGGTAAATGAATATTAATCTGAACAAACATGAAGGCTAGTTTAAGATTTAATGCAAACCGGAAATAAAATTTACAAGATAACTAGAGGTTTAAGTAAATTTTGATAGTACTTACTTAGTTTACGTCTGTTACTCCCGGTTCTGTACCTGAATAAAGGCGGAGGGTTGGCCATATGATTAGTGACCATATCCCATAGAAAACTAACTCGCTAAAAAACGATAACCAGAAAAAATAATTCAAATTTTGATAGTAGCTTTACATTTTTTTGGAATAATGTCGCTTTCTAGTTTTTATCTAAACGAAATAGCATATGTTTAGATTTTTCAGCAAGATTGTTTTCTACAGGATGAGGGTGTTGACCCCAAGCCCAACCCACCTTCTTTACTCGGGCTTGGGACCGGCAGTAGCTTTAGAAGTACTACAGGCAGAGTTAAGTAGCACATGATTCGAGTCTTAATTTATTATTCTACTCTTTAGACGAAATGGGAACACATTAATCACACTTATAATAACCTACAAGAAAAAAAATAGCAGAATGCACTCATATCCAAAAGATTATTGTAAATTCAATATTAAAACTAATAGACATCATGGTTACTGAAGGTAGTTTAATCTATTACAATGCATAAAATTGCCCATGGTTAATCAGTATTAACTAATTGCATAAAACAGAAACAATTATCTATCAACGTTGAATTGCTTTAATAGAATAATATCAGAAAGTGAAATGCCAATAAGAGACTGATCAGTTGCAGTTCTAAATATCACTGGGAAGATTCAAACAATCAATACGAAATTGAATTAATCTGCATATGTTTTAGAAATATACAAATTAAATATACCTATAATAATACATACCATTGTTACTATTATTATCATTATTACTATTAATAGTAGTAGTGGTAGTAGTGTAGTGAATGACAACACAGTTGAGGACAATTTAATACATTCGATAGTAAATTACAGAACTAGTTAGTAAAATCTAACAACCATATAGTAAATGTTTAATTTGCAAAATGTCCATCAGTTGTCTCAAAATGACTCAGACTTCATCGTTCTTGCATTTTCATACAAATTGCAGTCTATCTTCATTCATTAATGTTCAATCTTCTTGTCTGTCTGCTGCCAGACATTCTGTTCACGAATAACATCATATATTACTTATCTCTACATAAGTAGCACACGCCACACTCGTTCCCCCTTTAAAGCAGTCGTTCTCGCGGTGGTTCATGCTCGCCGTGCAACATTCTTCTTTCTGCAGTATGTGCCACGCCTTCCGTCAAAATATCGAGTCTGCGGCGCGCTGACCTCCATAGCTCCGTCGACCTGCCGGGGCACCAACACCCGACATCCACCCGGCACCTGGGACGTCTAACATCCGTGCTCCTATAGCAACTCACGTTCAGTTGAGTTTGCCCTCATCTAATTCGTTTAAGCCCTTTAGTTAACCTAGTAAACGGACAAGGTTATCTGTACTTTAACAACTTATTCTATCTTTATTATTGTTATGCTTGTATGAATAAGCATGCTTGAACACTGTTGACTGCCCACGCATATATTCATCCCACTAACCTTATTATTATTCGCTTAATCGATTCGATAGTCCATTCACTTTTCTATATATATACATGTATATTTAACACTCTACACATTTTCCACACATTCTCACACAATCACTGTTTGCTGACTCATTCGCCTCTCTGCTCTGTGGTTTGAGTTGCCTGCTAATAAAACTGTAGTAGCTGCTTCTCTTTGCCTTCTGATTTCAACTACCGTTGGGGTTTATACGATAACGGTTACGAGGGTGATTGGTCAACGAAGCACAGCCACTACACTCCACCGGCCTGCTGAGCCATCTACATCCGATGTTCGCCCAGCAGCCGCACGTTCCATTGATCCTCTATGACGACAGCACCCCCTACAGCCAACACCACCCCACCAGAACACTCCACCGGACGCCACCTTTCCGCACCAGGGTAGTAGTAGTAGTATTTCAAATATCTAATAATGGGCATAGTTGAACTATTCTTGGAACAATTTTAGATACTGTTCAAGCGAATAAAATATTCTAAACCGAAACCAATCCATTTATTGGATTTTAAAGATCATCCAATAGATAGTTGTTTTCTACTAGCTTAAAGTATACAGTAGGCTTAGTTTTTCGTAACAATTTATAGTAGAATTCTACAAATCATTATAACAAAGTCCTTTAAGAAATTTAGTTCTTCATTTTTTTATTATTCACATAAATGACCATTAACAGTTTTATTTAATTTAACTCTGACATCACTACTAATTTCTTAACGAATGGCTGTGTAAGCTTTCTTTAAAGGATCTTAAAAGTATGAGGTAAATTATCTTTCACCGGTCTCTTACACTGTAAAATAATATTTTTTTCTTAAGGGACCTGATGAAAGCTATCTAGGATTGTGACTGCAGAACACAATGTACAAGTGCTTGAGGCCAATCACATAGCTTTTTAAATGAATGTTTCTGATGTGTTCGATCTCTATTCTAAAGATCAAAATCTGTAGCGTGAATTGAGGCATGACATTTTTAGGGATTACATTTCCTAATTCCATCCTTCCATTGTCAGTAAGTAGTATCACTGCAGATAGTGATTACCTGAATGAAACGCCTTACTACTATCATAACTCTATGTAATTAGCAGGAGGACTGAATATTCAGACCTAGTGTTACTGATTTTATTTTCACCTTTCTCCAATCCATCTTTCTGTTACAGTAGAACCTAAAGTAAAACTTATACCAGTCTATATAGCTCGATTGTGTTATCACAAAAGACGAGCCCAACCGCCAAATCAAGATAGTAATTCATTCTTCATCTTCTCTCAGATCCTGAGTACTAAGATCTTTTAATGCTTTATTTTTTTCTTCCTATCACTAGTCATTTCTTCTACTACCGATTAAGTAACAACTTTTATTTTTTTGAAATTTAACTTGATAATGTCATCTCACTGTATTTGTATGGTTGGACAACTTGAATCAATGCACTCATGTTAATATTCTACGTTGCAAACTACTGACTGACGGATTTACCTTTTCTAATACGAAGAAACGTTTTTCAATACATTTAATTTTGTTTTGGTAAGAATTAATTTAGATCTAGAACTATGAGTGCATGATCTTCATTATTGTTACGTCAGATACAATCATAAGTACAAGCGATGTTTATTCGAGACTTAAGAGATTGTTCAATGCTTTATTTCAGTCAAAAATCCTCATGTAACAACAATACAATGTTATAATACCAATCAAGGTAATTATATTTCGCATTGAAATCCTTTGCAAATAATATCACTTACAATATGATGTTATTATATTTCCATGATATTAGCTTGTGTTTAGGAAGTTTGTTTTCTAGTGGACGATGTTGCTGACTTTATGTCCTATCCTGTTTGTTTGTTCGGAACATGAACTGACACAGTCACCCTGGAAGTGCTTCAGGCGAAGTAATTTCAGCCCCTATAGCATGCAATATTTTAAAATAAATATTATTCAAGTATGGAATCACATTAGAGTAATCTGGTATCTTAGACACACACTTAAAAATTTTGTATAAAAAGATAATTTGGCCCAATATCATGACATCTACAAAATTCATTCATAAAACGGTAACTATAAGCTTTTACAATCATGATAAGCATCCTTGTCAACAGAGTTGATGATTATTGGAACGGATAGATTAAATCTTAAAGTTGAGAGTCGAAGTACTTCCATTAGATCAAAGATGAATTATCTGATACATTGAAACAATATATAATATAGTCCAAACTAGGATAATTAAGTAATCACCGGTCAACAGTTTAAAAATATTATTGTGAAATGCGTATTACTAATAAGTAGTCAAATGTTCAAAACATACTTTTG